TACGCGAAATAGAAAACAGTGGAAGAGTTTAGAGGAGGCTTATAGGCACGCTGAAATTAGGGACATACTATAAGTCACTATAATTTAATTTCATAATAAAAAATAAATAACAAAACGTTGCCTTGAATATCTCCAAATAGATTTAACTCTATGCATTTATTTCTATGTTCTTTGAATTAACAAAAACCGTTGTAAGTTTCAAAAATTGGTTCTTAAAAGTCCCGGACGAAAGCCAGTATAAGTAAGATATGAATCAAAAGTGCATTTATCATTAAAGTTTATTATTTTATTATACTAAAGCTGACTTTATGCGCACACCTTTGTCCAAACTATCGCACAACTGTTTAGTCTCGCTTTGATTACGAATATGGAGCGCACACTACTCGATTTTTAGTTGTGCAACTAAACAGTTGAAGGCTGCGAAGCACTCGACAAACGACAATTCAAACAAAGTTTAGATGGATGGATGTTTGTTAGAGTTTGTAGCCTAAACGGCTGAACGGATTTTAATCAAATTTGGTATAGATGTAGAGGATAGTCTGGAAGAACACATAGGCTACTCACTTTTGTTTTTTATTTCCACGCGGACGGAGTCGCGAGCGAAAGCTAGTTTCATTATAAGCTGATTTAAACATACCTGTTCTTGGCGGTAAATAGTTGTTGGTGAGACCGAAACCACTGGTTGGGTTGTAGTTGTAATTAACAGGGGACTCACCGTGCACCAAACCCAAGAATAATATACCCAAAATCTGTAAAAAAAACTTACTAAAAAACTATTTTATATCATAACGGTTCCATCTGTCACCTTATTGGTAATAGTGGAAAGGTGGGACAGATGAAACTCACGTGGGGACAAAGCGGGCTGAACGGTTGGGCATAATCCCAGTGGGCTTGCATTGACTAAGGCCTAGTTACCTCTTACTTAGGGGAGGCTGGCCCCTTAGTGGGGACGTGTAGTAAGCTGTTAATTTACATGTATACCGAAGTATCTAGTTGTTTTTATGATATTATGAAGTGATTTTTTGCGGTAAAAATGCACATAACTAATGTAAATTAACTTACATTCTTAAACATGATCTATCTATTTTTCTACCTGCAAAAAAAAACAAATTAATTGCAACATCAACATGACACATTTAGTTTCCAAAAGGGGTTGTGTAAACCCACCTTATATATTTACGTACCGCAGCTACGAGCTAACAACTGTTCTGCGATTGTCGATTGTTTCGCAGCCAATTCAACTGTTTAGTTGCACAACTAAAGATCGAGTATGCGCTTCATATAAGCTTATTGGAAACATAGCGGGACTAAACCGTTATGCGATAGTTTAGTCAAAGATGTGTGTGCGCTCATATGATACCCACAAACTTCATTGTTTATGGAATTTTGGTCTAAATGTAAACATCTTTCACTTTAGAAACCGTATCCATTTAGAAATTAGATAACAATATAATTGTGGCCGCGAGAAGAAAATTCGATGATTTTTATCTGCATTTTGTTCCGTGGGAATAACTGTCAGCGACCGCCGCCATTGTTTTATAATCTACATTTTTAAAACCTTTAACATATGAAATATGTTAAATATACTAAAATGTACAAATAAATAAACTAAATATTAACTAAAGTAAAAGAAAATTATAGATAACCTAAAAATATTTTTATTCAACTTATTTTTTTAATAATGCGAAATCTTAGGAATCCCTTTTCGATATCCGGTAAAAAAGTTTACTCCCCTTTATTCGTAAAAACAATAACTAAGTAGTAATTTAATAAAAATCTATATTTAAATTTGTAACAGTTATTTATTAACTGCAAAATATAAGATTTTAGGTAGTAGGTTAAGGGTACGTTTTCACTATGCAGAAAATCGTCGTAACATAAATTGCAAGGACATAAATCGGTGTCAATTTTTTATTATTAAATTGTTATTACATTTATGCTTATTTTATACTATTATTTATTCCTTAATATCGTTAAATAATCATAACAGACATGTATCTAAAGCTACAGAGTTAAAACTCACCTTTATTAAAAAAAAAAAAACACTTTTAAAAAACGCGGCAAAATACACTAAACGTCAAAATGTAGAGCAAACACAACACTCGGCCGTTTTGTAAGCAATGCGCCACAGATTGTAAAATATTTTGTTTTTATACGCGGGCCGAGAGAGGGCGCATCTCTGGATTTAATCTTTATTTCATCTACATTTAATCTGTTACGTAATTTAAAATCAACTGACGACTCTTATGTAGACTATCGTAAGGTAATTCTTCTATTTATTACTTGTTTTATTTGTACACTAACTTTCGCCTGCGACTCCGTCCGCGAGGTATTAAAAAAATTAAACCACGTATCCTATGTGTTCGTCCAGGCTATCCTCTACATCTATGCCAATTTTCGTTGAGATCCGTTCAGCAGTTTAGGCTTATAACTCTAACAAACATCCATCCATCCATCTAAACTTTCACATTTATAATATTAGTATGATATGATGTATGAAAAATTTGCTGTTGCTGATAACTAAATCGCATTTTAAAATTTTTTGTCTGTCTGTCCGCAAGCCGCGTTTATTCCGGGTAATCTCGGAAAGGGCTGGGTCTATTTTGACCGGACTTTCACTGGAGGGTAGCTGACAGCGACGGGCATATTATAGGCTATTTTTTTAATACCGCGCTGTCAAAATAGGGTAACGGGTAGTTTACGCTAACGAAGTTAGCTTGCCTCAGCTCGTATTTTTACGATAGGACTTAATAAGTATTAAAGTTTTGTCATGAAAAATCTGTTTCAAACATGTGGTAGTTTACATAGGAGGAATCTAAATAGTAACAAATAACTACCACTCAGAGTACGAACCTAAAGGAGATCTTGAGTCTGAAAATAATCATCGTAATATTTATTTTAAGCACGTAACACAGATTTAGAGATAGTAAAGTTCATTGTTCCAAATGTCGTATAATTTTTACGCTACTCAGATAGACTTAAGACGCTATATAGATCGCAGATATTTGAGGCGTATTTCCATTGTCCGAAACACGTGTGTCAAACATCGTCCTACAAAGGATCTTCAAAACTAAAATAAAAGACGAAATAATATATTTCATAGGTACTAGCTTTTCTCTACGACTCCGTGGAATTATAAAAACAAAAGTATATAGCCTATGTATCCTTCCAGGCTATTTTCTATATCTAAGCCGAATTTCATCGAGATCCATTCAGCATTTAGGCTACAAACTCTAACAAACACCCATCCATCCATCGTAATATTTTTTTTTTAATTCAGAATCTAAAGTCTCTTTATATCCAGATGGAATTAAAATATTTGTAATTTATATGAATAAAACACCATAAACGTCTTTAGTAACAATACCAGCAATCTACAATATGACCACACATCTTACGACCGCAATATATGGCAAGATGCCTAATACAGATTGAACAGAATTAGGTTTAAAGCTTGCAACACCGAGATATATTGTAGTATTCAGATCGGATAAGTATTGCGTAGACTCGTTAACTTTATTACCCATGACCGTTGGCAGAACTCAGTTAAAATAGGTATATTTGTTTTTAAACGAGCTGTCGCCGGCACAATTCGAAATTTGGACCACCTATTACGCCATTTTGACATCGAGGTTTGATTTAAAAAAAAGTAGCGTGTAATATGCCCGTCTATGTCAGCTACCCTCCAGTGAAAGTTCCGTCGAAATCGGCACCGCCGTTTCGGAAATCACCCGAAACAAACGCGGCTTGTAGACAGACAGACAAAAAAAAATTAAAGCGATTTTTGTTTTCAGCAACGCAAATATATTATCTTCCCGAAATCTGGAATTTTTCTTTTAGTATAACAGACACTCCACTTTTATTATAAATATAAATGTGTCTATACCTCAAGGTTAAATGCAGTGACCTCTCCCGCATTCTTTTACGTCCTAACATTCCTAAAATTGTATTGCGTAGCGACTCGCACGATTTTCTGAGCCACTCAGATATTTGATAACTACTATAACAATGAGAAAAGTAAATACGCTTGCAATTTATTTATTTACTACTAGCTTGCAACTTCCGTATAACTCCGATAACGTAGCTTTCTAATGGTGAAAGAATTTTTGAAATCGGCTCGGTCGTTTTTGAGTTATTTCAATATATACAAAAATACAAATCTTTCCTCTTTATGATATTAGTATAGATTATAGATACGTTAATTTAATTTAGAGTATACTTGTACATTCTTTTATTATTTACTAGCTTTCGCTCGCGACTCCGTCCGCGTGGTATTAAAAAAAACAAAAGTGAGTAGCCTATATGTTCTTCCAGACTATCTTCTACATCCATACCAAATTTTATGGAAATCCGTTCAGCCGTTTAGGCTATAAACTCTAACAAACATCCATCCATCTATCCATCTAAACTTTCGCAGTTATAATATTAGTATGAAGTATGATTATTAAATGACCCTTTTTTTAATTCAGTTGCTTCTCATCGTCAAAACTGATATCGCGTAGTATTACTTAAGATAATTACATTTTTCAAATATTGCGATATCATAAGTAACCTTGCTTTCTTTATTTTCAAACAATAATTACAAGACATGTCCAAAGTACCAGATATCGCCGACGTCGATCGTATGCGAAGACAATAAACAATTCGCGTGTGGTACAAGTTAAAAGATTACAGCGATAGTGAATAAAATTTTTATACAAAGAACAGAATGTTTTATTTCCTTTTATTTGTGTTTCACTTTTCACTGATTAAAAACTTAAAAACATTGTTTTATCAGGTTTTTTCTAGTAGAATCATATTATAAATGTGAAAGTTTAGATGGATGGATGGATGTTTGTTAGAATTTGTAGCCTAATCAGCCAAACGGATACCGCTAAAATTTGGTATTTGGTGCAGAGGGTAGTCTGGAAGAACACATAGGGTACTCACTTTCGTTTTTTTTCATTCCACGCGGATGGAGTCGCGGGTGAAAGCTATATGTTATAACTATAGGTTACCTAAAACTTCCTCTTTCAGTAGTATTCATTTATTTTAACAGTGGTAATTCCTGCTGTAATATCTAGAATAGGCTAGCTAGCCTCATAATCATGACCTCACAGAAGACAAGCGTCAAGTGGAAGTTACCCCTTGTCACCTTATACTATAACTAGCTACTACTTGCGATTTCTTTCTAGGTATTAAAAAAATAGTAAAAGTATAGGCTACATTACTCAGTGAAAACATCACTTAATTGGTTTAAGAATGTAATGTTCGTAAGATACCGTTTTCTTACCACGATTAGTTGGTGGTTTTAGTTCCCGATATTTCGGCACAGTTGCATGCGTCATGTTCACGGGCTGACTGAAGTGATGCGGTAGTGTGAAAAAAAAGTTACACGAAGCTTACGAACATTACATTTGTAAAAACCACGACAGTTTAAAGTTATATATGGTTCAAGATTTTTTTAAATCGGCCCGAGTATTTGAGTTATTTCAATACATACAAAAAGCCAAATCTTTCCTCCAATGTTAGTATGGATAAAAACTTGCAGTAGGAATAAAACTTAATTTATTACTTCTCTCTCGAAAGCTCTATTTATTATTTACTTGGACCACACGTAAAGATGTCCGGACAATAAGCTTCTAATTGCCATAGCCTTGCTCTACTTCCTTCGTAACCACAGCGTAGAGATCCATAGACACAATAAATTGTTTTCTACTTAGAACGTGCGCACACTCTGACTAAAATATCGCACAACTGTTTAATCGCTTTGAATCTTACGAACTTATATGGAAGTACACTACTCGGTTTTTATTTGTGCTACACAGTTGAATTTGCTGCAAAACTAATCATGGCTGGTCTCCATCTTACTTGATGTGCCACGGGTCCGAACGAAGCGATTCGAGACATCGTTTCTCGTGCGCACATCAAAAAAATGGAACAAGTTGCCGGCCTCAGTGTTACCGTTAGAGATGGGATTTTACCCGGAAAAAACCCTCTTATGGGAAAAACCCGGGGAAAATTCCCGAACGGGAAAATATTCGGGTTTTTTTTATATTTAGTATATAAAACATCTAGGTAATGTGTAGATACAAATATTTATCAAATAGTACGTACTATTACTACTAGTTAGAGCGGCATGTTTTAAAAAAAATGTATACCAAGTTCCATAGAGATTTTTCTTGTTTTTAAGGCATTTCATTGCATGAGAATCCCGAAAAATGTTGAAGTAAAATTATTCTTTAGCTCGCATTTTTACATTTGAAAATACCCGTCGATTAGGTTTTTTCCCGCATAAATACCCGGGTTTTTTCCCAAATTGGAAAAAACTCGGGTTTATTCCCGTTGGGTTTTTTCCCTTTGCCCATCTCTAGTTACCGTCCAGTTATAACGCCTTCAAGAGCAGAGTGAATCGGTACTTATCGAAACGCGCTCTATCCTTCGACCGCGTCTTCACTTAGGTTAGGTGGAGTCGTGGTCAAGCGCTGGTTTATTTATGTTAAAAAAACAATTGACAGTCGCACAACTTGCGATAGTTCAGTCAAAGATGTGCGCCTGCTCTTAAAATAGATCCGAATACTGGCGGAAAAAAACGGTTTCTACTTAAGAAATTTTTTGCGTCATAGGTGACATGATCAAGGGAGTAATGACTGAGATATTTGATGATAAATGTATAGGGAGAACGAATTATGTTACGTTAAAAAAAAAAACAAAAGTGAATAGCCTATGTGTTCTTCCAGACTATCATCTACATCTGTACCGAATTTCATAAAAATCTATTCAGCCGTTAGGCTACAAACTCTAACAAACATCCATCCATCCATCCATCTATCTAAACTTTCGCATTTATAATATTAGTAAGATTATAGGGTCTGTTATATCAAAAGAAAAATTCCAGATTTCCGGAAAATGATGTATTTGAGTTGCTAATAACGAAAATCGTATTAATTTTTTTTTTGTCTGTCTGTCTGTCCACTATCCGCTATTGCTCGGGGTAATCTCCGAAACGGCTGTGCCGATTTCGACCACACTTTCACTCAAGGGTAGCTGTCGGGCATATTATAGGCTACTTTTTTTATTCCAAGCTGTCAAAATGACGTAACGGGTGGTCCAAATTTGCCCTAACGAAGTTTGCTGACGACGGCACGTTAATACTTTGTACAAGTTAAGCCTGCAAACGCCTAATTTTTTTAAAGGCAAGATTTCGTTACCATTACGCGTTTCTTATATCGTATATCGTTACGTGACGCTTAGAATCCATTCTAAAATAATCTCAAATCCATTTTCACATATAATTCTGTTCCGATAGCATCGCTATGGGAACATCCCTACCTCAAAACTTGACTCTTCCTAGTAAATACGTAATAGAGTAACAGGTGTATAATTTACTTAGTACAAACTATATTTACATAATAAAAAGGTATAGATGATAATAATTTTCTTTCCTTTCCAAGGTTAAAACGCAAAGGTTTGCTTTTTGACTAGTTAGAGCGCCATCTAGTGTCGAATAGTATTATTAATGGTATTTAAATAA